TTTCTATTGCCATTTCACAAATGGGAAATGGGCTTATTTTCAATTGGAAACATTGTTGATCTATATTTTCTAGTGAAAATGGACATCGCTACTCTGACATACGATCCAGTAATATATGTAAACAAACCAAATTGAATAAAGTAAAAATATTAAATTCTATAAACAAATAATACTCCCAAATCCATCCCTTATAATGTGACACAAACAATAAGGTGCCAATGACTAGCGGAACAAAAAGAATGATCTTCACGGTCCATGATGTAACAAAAACTATACACATCCGCATGCGATTAAAAAAAATACTTTTATTTAGATTATCGCACGAGCCACGAATAGCTATAAATATTAAATACAGTGAGAAATTCATTAACACTTCATCAATACATTTTGAATCTAAAAGTATATGGTGATCGATATTTTATATACTCAGCAAAATGAAAAGTTTGACCATTGTTGTTTTCTTTGTGGCAGTGTCAGCTCTGAGTTCAGTAAGTGACATTGAAATAGGAAAACGCGAAAAAATAATAATACTATATTTATTAGCAAACCACTGTCATATATTGTCTTGAAAAATGAAACAAAGAATAGGTTTCGTTGTATTGAGCACCTTATTTGATTAAGTGTTGATTAGTATTCAACTACTAATTTTTATTGAATTATGAGAATGTTTATAAAAATTCTGAGAAATATATTTATAACAATATAAATTCAGGGTTCGCCACTAAGTATCAAGCCAGACAATAAAGAAGTGATACATAAAGCTGGGTTCTCATCCAGGAGCTCTTATTGACCATAAAGAAGACCCATCATGTATTGGGATGATGAACTGGGGAAGTAAGTGTCGATAATTTATAATAAAAACTAGCCTAAAATTATAATAATTTATAGCCATAACTTATAATAATTTTCACGTGATATTTGTTATTTATCAACGCTTATAAGTTATATTCTAAAAAATAGCCAGTTTATCATAGCATACATCTGCGATTCATTATTCAACTTATGTAAGCTAAGCTTCTAAGTTGTGATTTAAAAAAAAGTAGCAAGTTATAAATTTAAAGTACAATTGTAATTATTTGTGAGTATTGTTAAATGCAAGTTTAGAGCAACAATACGAAAGATTTCCAAAATGAGAATCTGCTCAAAGGGCGTTCCATCAAAGATTACAGTTAAAATGTTGTATGGTAAATGTGAATCTTGATAAAACAAAAAAATATTTTCAACGTAGGTTTAAATAATATTTACATTTATTATAAACAAGAGTTTAAGTATTTTATTGATTAATAATAATATAATCAATATTAGTGATTTTTATAGTGTAAGATCATGCCAAATTACGTGGCCAATTCTCCGATTAAGTTAAAACGTTATGGTAAGGCTATGTTACGGGTCTATATTCGTACGAATTGGTAGTAACGAGCTGTCAAAAGGCCATGTATTTGCTGATCAATCAAGCTTTTTTACATAAGAACCCAGTAAACACCGAGCGGCGGTAGCAATCTGAAATCCACATTGATTATATATGGGTGTCACAGCGCTGAAGGAACGCTTGTGGATTTCAGGTTGCTGCCGACGCTCACATCACACGGAGTTTATTACTCGGAACCTAAGTTCATGTATGAATTTCCAGAAAGTTGCACTTACGATAAAATTGTTATTTAGGTTATAGGTACTTATGACAAGAAGTCAGCACATCAGCTCATGGGACTCGTTTAGTTTCGATAGCTGTTAATATATATATATATATATATATATATATATATTTATATGTTTCCAGGACCTGCCACGGCAGCGCCACCAGCTGCAGGTGGCGGTGCAGGCGGAGCAGACGCTGGAGCAGGTGATGCCGAAGCAGCCCCGGCTCGTATGACAATGCGCAGAGCAGGAACGGGCAGATCGACAACCACAAACACAAATACCCGTACCAGAAGACGACAACAATCAGGAAAATAAAAAAATACCAAAAAATAACGGATAAAAATCATGATTTGAATTTTGTAGCTGTCGCATACTAACCAACCAAGCTATTTGTAGTTATTTAATACCAAATATATGATTCACAATAATTTTGTATTTTTTTTAAATAAATAATATTGTTATAAAATATAATTATTAAATAATTTAAGTAGTAATATATTATTTCAAGACATGAAATAAACAAAATTCAAGAGAACAGTTCAATAAATTCAAAATAAATAAATATTGTCATTAATTATATCATACTTTATTGTGTTGAAAATTAGAAAATGATATATATATATATATATATATATATATATATATATATATCATTACAAATGTATTCTGAGTGGATAATAGTATTAATTTGGAAATATGAACAAACAACACTCTTTTTGCACTAATTTATTAAAATTAGTGCAAATTTAATTTATTTTTTATAAATATAATTTATAAATAAATTATATTTATTGTAATTTATTTTTTTCCTATCTGATTGAGTGACTTTACAATTTCAAGTGGTTTTCAAGTAGGAGAGAATACGAATACCGAAGACAGTGATATTAAAAGAACAACGTGCAGTGAACGACTTGTAATGAAAAACACAACATGCTAATTAGATTTCCATATTTTAAAATTTTTTTTAATTATAATACACTGATGATGAGACAAATCTAGTCTCGAAACGTTTGTGAAAAATTATTATTTAATAATTAGTGCAAAAAGAGTGTTGTTTGTTCATATTTCCAATATATATATATATATATATATATATATATATATATATATATATATATATGAGTGAGTTCTTGAGGGCGATACATTAAACTTTGTTCATATATGAAACTTTGTTCTTTGTTGATATTTCAACATCAAAATTAACTACTAAATCATATATATATATATATATATATATATATTATATATATATTATTTAAGGCGGGTCGATTTAAAGGTCACTTAGACACACATGATTTTCGGATCAAAATAAGATAATTTGCTGAAGAAATCATACTACTAAAATGAATTCTGATGTCCCATGCATTGACCGAATTATAAGGGTTAAATGTTGAAAAACCGCTCAAGGGAGGTCCCAGGGGTTGAACCAGGACATGGGTGAATAGGCCTTCCAAAGTTAGTGGTGGTCTCTGGTGCACTCTGAATATGCCAAAATGGAATTTTCGAATTTCAACTCTTAATTTTGGGTGCACGGGACATAAGAATTCATTTTAGAGGTATAGTTTCTTCAGCAAAGTATCTTATTTTGATCCCAAGTATCCGAAAATCATGTGTGCCTAAGCGACTTTTTTGACCCATACAAATCGACCCGCTCTAATATATATATATATATATATATATATATATATATAATTTAGATTGATAAACTTTTCAGATTGTGGAAAATAATATTTCCTACTGTATTCCAAAAATAAAGTCTCGCTTTTCACTAAGAATCAATATGATTTCCAATTGATATATTATAATACTTGTAATAGTATTATTTAAATTCAATTTATTAACCAATTTTATTCACTTCATATTCTACAATATTGTAATAAATTAAAAGTCAACGGTAATCTGTAGCATGCAAAACGGTGTGCATATACACCGTCATGTCTCAGAGCGCGGCCCAACCTTTCAAACTAATTAGTTTTCGTAATTTAACTAATTTGCGTAAGTCTATAATATTTAGGATATAGATAAGGTTTTAGTTTTTAGTTTAGAAGACCATAAAATCCATAAAGTTTTATAGAAATTGCCAGAATTGAATGCTTCTTTAATGACAAATACTATTTAGGAATGCAATAAAAATCGACTTTTTAAAGAACTTTTTTTCGAATCGACTTTATTATTGGATTATATATATATTTTATCTTATATTTTTGGATCTACATATGTTTTTCAGCTTTCAAACTTAAGTTTTGTAAAGTTTTGTTCAACCTTTTTTATAAGTATTTAAAAATAATTAGCACTTATTCCAGACAGTCAAGAAGTTCATTTTCATAATTTTTGGTAATTTTCATAAAATTGAAAATAAAAGTTTAAAATTATGAATGCGAGAGGCTATGTTAACCCGCCTTTTTCAAATAAGCATAATGATTGTATATAATATTTTTAGATATTTGATGGGTAGTTGTAATTTTATTAACAGGTAAGAGCGAAGATTCAATTTAGACTTATACTTTTCGACTATCAGGGACAAAAGATCTAAATCCGGGATAAATATTACTTTTAGGAAATCCCGGGACACAAGGTGGAAATGCGGAAACTACATCCGGAAATATATTATACAAAAAATGATATTATTAGAAAAAAAAACGAAGTGTAAGTGGCATTTTGTCCTGCCAAATTTGGGAAAAGATAAAAATATCGTAAAAAACATCATGTTAAAATATATTATACAAAAATGATATTATTATAAGAAACGAAGCATAAGTGTCATTTGGTCCTACCAAATTTGAGAAAAGAATCGGTGAATATAAACAGTAATTGAATTAAATTAAATCTCTTATCTTTTAAAAGGTTAATTAATTTTCAATGATAATTTTGAAGATTTTTTTTCATTTATCTAAATCGGTTCTACCAGTCATCATACGAATATATACGAGTGAATTTAATTTTCTAATTCGCTCTGATTTAAAAAAAACAACAAATAAGCAAATTTTTAAAGTTGTAGCATTAACAAACATTCTATTAACAAAAACTTTTTTACGACAGATTCTGTACAGATTAGGCATGAGATTATTGTAATTTCATATAAAAAGATTGAAACGATACGGTTCTGTGCATTTTCTATATAACAGAATAATTGAAAATTATTTTCACATTAGATAATTTATCATCACAAACATCAAAACTCTTACAAAACGAATAATGCCTTTCTGTTACATGTGCTTAATTATTTTGTTGATCTGAACTATTCTTTTTTACAGAATTAGACTATAAAAGCATAATAATTTCGTGGAAAATGCCAGTAAACTTTGATATTTTGATATCATCAAATCTAATATATTTCTATAAAAAAAAGTTAAAAAATCAAAATGAAATTTGCAGTAATTTTGGCTTTCTTCGTAGCTATTGCAGCTGTTAGCGCTGTGAGTGATATAATAATTCAAATAAATTTTGAAATTTTTAATGAAATAAATAAAATATAAGTAGTTGAAGGTGATATAATAAGTGTAAAATTAAAAATATATATATATATATTTCAGGCACCAGGAAGCGAAACAGAAGTAATGGAAACGTTTGCTAAAGGTATGTGCAATTACAAGAATATTCAAATGTATATGAAGTTTTTGAAAGAACCTATATATTATATATTATAATTTCTCAAATAATTGCATAAAATATGATTATTTATTCGTTTTGGACTAGGTATGTATAAATAACATTTTCAAAGAAAATACAGGGCATTTCTTGGATAAAATTGAAATGTTATGGTAATGCTATATTACGAGTAGATCTGCGTATGAGTTGGTAATAATGAACTTTCAAAAAGCTATGTATTTGCTGTGCGTTCAAGCGTTTTACACATAAAACCTAACCTACAAAACGCATGAACGTCAAAGAGCAATTTTATTATAAGTGCAACTTTCTAACATCTCATTGACAACACGTGCGTGAAGTTAAGTTTTATGTGTAAATCGCTCAGCAAAGACATAGCTTTCGTTGCTACCAACTCATACGAAGATAGACCCTTGACATAGCAGTACTATAATATTTCTATTTTATCTGAAAATTGGCTCCTAAATATGTCGTTTTTCGGCTCAATATCATGTTTGATATATCATAATGATCAATAAATAGTATTAATAGGTTATGCAATATTATGTATTTTTGATTTTATTAAATCATAAAACTAATGAAATGGTGTTAATAATTTGATTAAGCATTAGAACTTTCGGTGATACATATTACGCAATTATTACTAATATAAATAATTTTTGCTGATGTAATATTTTTCAGAATATGTACAAGATTTCTCTGAAAATTCAGTTGCATATATTTTTAACATCAAAATTTGCCATAATTTTTATAAATAACACATTATTTAAAACCATCATAATTTTAAAAACCTTATACCTTAACTTGCGAAAACCTTCATTCACCGTTTTCTGAAACCTTTCAATCTATAAATTTTAAAATTATTAAATAGATATTAAAAAAAAAAATTATATTCTCTAAATATATAATTTATTTATGTTCGAAGTTTTGAAACATTTATATATCTCTAACTGTTTAATTTTGATTCAAAAAACTTTTTATAGCTGCTTAATTTTTCCAGCGAAAATTATTACACTAGACATAAGCAAAATGTTTCTGCCTGCAAAAACGTCGTGTGTTCGTTTATTTAAAAAATGAGTTTTTTTTACGTTTTTGAAACAAAATTTAATTCCAATACAATAAATGAAATACTAAAAGAGTGGCTTTCATTCTTTCAACTAAAATAAATCAACTGAGAAAGACATACATTATGTATGTATCTTTGTAAAAAGAAGAATTTCTCACCATAATACAAGTCATTGTGTATTAAAATAAATAGAACTTTCAAAGTAAACAAATGTTGTTAAAGATACATGTTTAAAAAAGTGAATTCGTTAAATATTAGGTTGTCAAATATCTCTTGTATGGTTTATAATACAAAAAGGCGGAAGGGAGATATTTGACAACCTAATATTAATACGATCTTTTTATGTCGACGTATATTATTTGAAAAAATATAAAATGATGAAAACGTAATAAAAATAATTATTGTAGAAGCCCAAAAAGTAGCCGCAGGAATGCCTGGAGGAATGCCTGGAGGAATGCCTGGAGGTATGCCTGGAGGTATGCCTGGAGGTATGCCTGGAGGTATGCCTGGAGGTATGCCTGGAGGTATGCCTGGAGGTATGCCTGGAGGTATGCCCGCAATGCCAGCAGGTATGCCAGCCAAATGGAGGAAATTTTATTTATTTATTTATTTATTTATTTATAAGCAAGCCGTAATCAATAATAATCGATATTATTTCAGGCCGTTGTCAAGAACTTTTAAATAAAATATTAAAAACTATAGATACCAAAAGTCCCCGAGTGGCGGACACCTAAAATTATTTATAAATAAATCAAAAAATATTTTACGAAATGTTTATTAAATTATGACTAAAATGTTTATTAAATTATGTTAGATAACAAAGTTAGAAATCAACCTTTGCTAAAAATAATTAATACTATCAATCAAACTTCGCTAACAAAAAATATGATTTTAAAAAGTGGTACCTAGTACCGGACATTTCAAGTTAACCTGCATTGAACACATATGTAGTCATCACCACACTCTGGAATGTCTGCACATATGTGTTTGACGAATATTCTTAGATATTACAAAAAAAAAGTCACTATTCATTCACCATTTTCGCTGGGCCACACAGATGCTCTCAGCTGGAGCATTCATCATAAGCTTTTCATTCTTTCACTATGAAATACAAAAAATGGGGGTCAATGTTTTTAAATATTTTTTATTTGATAGGTTTAAGTTAATGCACATTCAGCACGTATTAATTAATATACATTTATGGTACCCAAATAACTTATGTGTCAAACATTATAGGTGGGCCAGAAGCTATGAAAAAGATGGCTGAAATGGCTAAAGAAGCTGCTAAGAAAATGGGCAAAGCCTAATTTACTTCGAACAAGTATCAGATGACAACGTTTATATAATGACATGAGTATTGTAATAGATTAAATAAATGTAATAGTTATAAATAAAGTGTCGTTTTTATTCATCTCCAGTAGAGTAAGTTCTAGTAATACCAAAAAAAAGTCGAAAATTATTTTTTTTATATATCTTTACATTTCTAAGGTTTCTAAACATTTTAAAACACCTTAAAAAAATAATGTATGTATGTGTATTGAACGAATAAAAAATTAAAGTTTTTGGAAGTCAGGACCAGCTGTCTTGGAACCTAATTATTCTACGTAACCTAAAAATGCAATACTCACTTATCAGACTCAGTTATCAAAAACCATACTCAAAAGCTCAAATTTCAAAATCTCACTATATAAAATTGTACTAATTACTGATCTGGAACATGCGACAATGACGACGGTTGTTTTGGCACCCGGGACGTCGCTCCGATGTGATGCAGATTATCGATCATCATGTTTACAAAAATGATTATTAATATCATATAAATTTCAAAAAAATAAAAGTTTAAAATAAAATAAGAATAAGAACAAAATTGTATTAGCATATTCAGACAAAATGCCACTTACATCTAGTTTATTATTATTTGCAAGAGAAATGTAGATAGAGATAATTAAAAATACTTTTTGACTTTCTTATAAAAAGGTTTAGTAAAATTAATAACTAGGTGTAAGTTGCATTCAAGTAAATTTGTGCTAAATTAACCAAATTTATAATTAATTTATTAAAGAACTGAAAAATAAATATGTTATGATAATGCTGCTTACGAAATTTTACGAAATAATATTATACATCCAATGCAAAATATAAATTTTATGGGTACATTATTTTACAGAGATAACACTCTATATAACCTTGATTTGGAATAACTATTTATTCAATTTATCTTTTGTAAATTAGCTTTTTACCTTAATTTACTTTTTTATTTACTAAGGTTTACTTCTGTGCCAGGTAAAAGTTCAGATTTATGCACCCAGGTGTAAGCTTTAAAAAAGTTGTTGAATCTAACTTAAAATTGACAATGCAATAATATGAAACAATTATATACCGAATACTTAAAAATAATATTATACTCTTATGAACTAAACAATAGTGCTCACAACCAAAATTAACAACAACTGTATTTTTTTTTGTTTTGAGTACCATTCTCAGAGATTGTTACTCTTTAATAAACACAATGATAATAAAATTTAGATATGTTACATAACAAACTTTTAATTGAATTGCGGACTATCTAAATGTTAATATTAAGAGCTAAAACTTTCAGAGAATATTTTAGTATCAATTTGGAAGGATTTGAGTTCCTGAGAGCAAGGAATTCGAAAATGTCCATATTAAGGATCACTATAAACGAAAACTGTCAAAAATCTTTGTATTTACAGTGCGATCAGGCATTTTACACACAAAACCTAACTTCACGTATGTGTTATCAAAAAGTTGCATTTGTGATAAAATTGTTATTTGTGGTTTGTGCGTTTTGGAGGTTAGATTCTATGTGTAAAACAGTAAATGCAACAAGACAGAATTCCACTTACAGCTAATTTTTACTTTATTTGTGATTTAATGTGCAAATTCATAACTTTCATTCATTATAATTTTAAGATCGGTTAAACAATTTTGGCATTTACACTATTAGTTGATTTTTTTGTATTTAAATTTTGTTAGAATTTACATACCATTTTTGTTTAAAAAAAATCTAGGATTACTTTGTTCAAGTCTTTTATTTTATAAATATTTTTGTATCTGATTAGGTTCATTTTCTGTCAAGTTTTTCAAAAATTATCAAGATTCTATAAAAATTAATACGTTATAAAGTAATTTATTTATCCAAATTTTTGTTTTTCGTTAATTTTGAAAAGTTGAAAAACTAACAAAATTTGATGTTTTTAATGAATAACAACTTTAAGCTGTTCAAGATTTTTTCAAAACTCAATTTGATTTGTTAGTCAGAGAGCAAGTGAGATTAGTAACACATATAATTATTGTATACTAAAAATATCTCAAAAATTAAAAAAAGAGTGCACGTAAGGTTCACACGCGATTGAAGTAAAACTTATTTGCTTCTGTACAAGATGGCATTTAGGTAAAAATAAATACATCATATAACAATTTTGAATAATGTTTATTAGTAATATGGTAACACTCGTGATGCACATATTTATTAGTGTCAATCATTATACACATTTATATAATGATAAATCATAAATTATATATTTATAATATCATTAAAAATATGTATAAGATTTAAAAATAATAATGTAATTAAAGTCATACTTCAAATATTACATGATCGGTTTATCATTGTAATTAGCATTTAGAAATTAGCCTTTATTAGAGAAATAAAGTAATTGCTGATTAATGAATTCTACAATATTCGTTCACACAGTGAATTATGTTAAACAACGCCTGAACAAATATTGTTTTTGCAACTTCTCTCATCATGTAATAATGGTGTTTGAAGAATTTCATGTAATTAAAATTAACATACATTTATTGACTGATGATATTTTTTTTACTTTTTTGCTGGCGATATAATCTCATTCTTTGAACAGCTGTAATATCTGTTTTGCCTAAAAAATATTTTCCATTTCAATAACTTCAAAGATTTATAGAAACTACAAATAATATAGAAATTATTTCAATAAACTTATGTTTCATACACGGCGCAAATGCTGCATTTGTTTCATTATTTTCATTATAATTATTTACGGGAGACAGGATAAAATATTCTTCTGATTCAAATCAAGATTTGTACTACAATGTAACTTTAAAATGTTCATTTATCTATGCCGATTTCCTTGTTGATATCGGTACGCATATAACGTTGATGCCGGTACGCATACAACGACAGATCTCTATTCACATACACGACGACTAATCACAATCAACCCGTATAGAAATGAGTCATTTGCACTCGACTCTGATCTTATCTTAACTGCCGTAACGCACTTCCGTTGCATTTGTACGGATCTACACCCTATTCGCGCCTAAAGAAGTTTTACATAAAAAAAAGAAAAATCGAAATTTTCGATCATGTTTGGGATTTTTAAACAGTTAGCATTATTTATCAAAAAGTTATTTTATAATTATTAAATATTTATAATATGAACTAAGTTTAAAAACCAATGCATAAAATATTCAAAACCTTAAACAAAATAAAAAATTGTAAACAATAATTTCAGCGTAGTAGTTAAAATAACGTATTTATCGAATATTAAATTAACATTGTTATAACACAGATTATCCCAGGCACCAGAGCATAAATAAAGTTAATTTTTGCTTAATTAAGTATCACAATATAAATACAAATTTTTGCATGGAAATTTCCTCAACGTTACTCAGTATCGAAATATTGTAATGTCACGTGCCAGTTTTTGTCAATTTGGTAAAAGTTATTATACAAAAAATTGATTCCAGACAAGTTTTAAATGCGTTTTGAATAATTTCGACGAAAATTATTACCCATTAATTTTTTATTAGTCGTCTGTCATATATAAACAGGATTATTTTATCGAATGTTATCATATCGTATCACAGCATAATAACATTTAGAAAATAATTAAAACCAAAAATCAACTCAAAATGAAATTCTCAGTTGTTTTAGCCTTTGTTGCCTTTGTGGCAGTTGCAAGCTTCGTGAGTAGTATGAAATATTATAGTTAAAAAATATTATTAATAATAAGAATAAATAAAAAATTATGTGTTTAGACTGTAGGTGTGAATGCCAAAAACGGTGCTTCAGGTAAATATCAGTTAATTTAATCACCACTAACTTTTTATATAATGTATTCATAGTTGCTCATAAAATTATATTCAATTTCGTATATCCATACATCTTATGTCTTAAACCCAGAAAAGATTTTTCAGACAATTTTTCAATATCAATGTTAATAAAATTATAAAATCTTTGGAATTTTCAAAATTAAAGAAGGTGTATGTGGGCGTATGCTTGTGAGTTTGTATGTATTTGCGGATACTAAATTTCGTCCACGATTTCGGAAGCACGGATCAATCGATTTGAATGATTGAAAAACCATTTGATTCCTATGAACAAGACGTGCTAATTAGTTCAATAGACTGGTAAACACAGTAGACTATATACAAATGGAAAGATAATAATCTTAATAATTATTGATTCAATCGATTATTTACACAATCGGAAGTTCATACAACTTGGCAAAATGTCACTTACAACTTACAATCAATGCATTTTGTTTTACATCAATTCATGAGAGCCTTTATATGATACCCATATCACAATAATGTCGAATCAATACGTCGAATATGGTTTCTCACTTATATCATCTTCTTCTCATAAACTTCACAAAACTCTAACTTTTATAAATTCTGATGGTTCATTTTTGTCCAGCATCCATTATTCCTTATTTTCATTTTTAATAGTTATTAACGGCCTTTCTTAGAAACTATGTCCTAAATCCATACAGGGCCGCATACTTATGATGCAGCATTTTTTTAACATTGGTATCAAGTTAAGTTCGTCAGCGAATTCTTCACCTCTTTTACTTAAAATTAAGGAACCTTCTGTATTCAAGTTGGAGTGTAACATGGCCTTGCCATAACATTGGTCTGTTGTGCGGCAGAATCGGCCCGGGAAGTGGCAAATGACTCTAAATTATTTTTACTCTTAAACTTGAGAGTGAGATGAACCTAATTCCAAAAATTCATGCAAATTGGAGCACATTAAAAATATTCAGACCCAAAATGCTCCATTATCTTTAGTAAATATTGCGTATCCAATGCCAAACATATGAATTTTTGACGCAATGAAACTTCTAAATAATTGTTTGAATAAGTAAATTATTTTTGTATCGTTATTTAGTAAAGTAAGGCAAAACACGACTGCATTTGAAAGTTAAAAAATAATAATCAGTCAAAGTGAATTATAGGCTAAGTTTGATGTGCGATCACTGACAGACGCATGCGCAGACTTCATCACCTGTCAGATGTTGACTGT